GATTTCGATGGAGACTTCGATAGGCGAGATTCATTGAGTACGTACCATCAGAAGCTAATTACTCTAACAAAGGCTGCCCGAGCCACATCAATCCAGTCTCGAATGTGCTTGATCCACAAGAGCGCCATCGTTCTATCTATGTCTCAGTTTCTGCTCTCGAAAGATACTGCAACATCCAAAACCTAAGATCCCCTATGTTACGATTCGACAGCAACATACCAAAATCGGCTAAACCATGCTTGCAATGGAACAGCGGTTACAGAGATATGCAACAAAAGCATCATTCATTAGATGCTTCTTGCTAATTCTGATTCGTTACAAATACCGGACGAAGTTCTGCAGGTGCTAAATCATTATCCGATCTAAATGCAACTTAATTATGATGTTCTAGGCAGTTAGATGTGTGGTAGTAGTTCTTGCAAGCAATGCGTATCCAGAACTTGGCTTTTCCGCTGCGAACAAACTTAAGATAAAAGAAGCAATCTGGCAACAAGCATTCTCGATTCATTGATGACGTAGGTAAACAGATAAGCATTAATAAGCAGACCTAAACCTACATCCAGGACGACCCTCTCCGTTTGAAAGAGAAGGCATTCTCACGAAAGAGATAAGAACAGCTCTTGCAAGTGTTAAGGTTTTCTTTCAAGTTACCTACGGCTACATATAATTGAGATTTAAGGGGATGTCAACGGTTTGATTGTCAAACATGCTAAACACTACTTGTCCATGCACGGGCTGAGAACTTGCCATGACGTCAAGGAAATCAGCACCCGACTTCAGAACGAAGAGGAAGCTAAATTAGCAATTTTGTCTATCGGCTCAAAAACAATTGCAAGTCCATCGTCATAATTCAACAACAACTTTTCGAACATTCATGAAATTTTTTAGAAATAAACACCTTTGTTGTGGCCATTCCTTCTAAGCGGTGTTGCCTTCGCTATAGAACTGCAGGCGAAAGGAGTTGGAAACCTAAGTAACCTAGGTAAAAAAATCAAATCAAGTTAAACTCTCTCAAGAGTGCAGCAAATAAAGCAAATTTTTACATTGGCAAATATTTTATATGATGTATACATAATTAACAATTAATAATAATTATTATTTGCATAGATTTGCCTTCAAGCCTACGGTTTTTTATCCAAACTACTCCCCCCCCCCCTTACCCCATTTCGACCAACGGTCCTTCCTTCCCTTGTAAGAAGCGGTGTTACAAGAGTCTGCAGCATTTAAAAAGGGCTTTTTGATCTTCTCCGCCATCAGAGGACGGTCGATTTGCCTCCTCCCGCGACAAGGATTGCGCCGTCAATACCTTTATTCTAAGTCATTTTTGTACTGTTACATGTAGTCGGACATAAAATGATCGTCAGTAGTTGTCCCGCAAATATACCCCATGTGATAAAATTTTTGGAGTATCCGGGCTAGAGGTCAAGTGATCCAATGTATGAAAGAATGACAAGATATCTTGGCACCAAGATTCTTCTATGCAAACAACTCTTAACAACTTTTCAAAGCCTAAGCTCAAGCACATCCGTTTTCTAGACTGATAGAAAGTTTGGTTTTTATGGCAGATGTCCAAGCGTGACTTTCTAAAAGCTGGCTGCAGAGAACGAATCCAATTATAGCGTTTCAATTTCGTTCTCTATCTAGTGCCAGGAAATGAAAGCTGCTACCTAACCCAAAATGTCATTAGGATTTCTTACATAGCAGAAGTCTACGGCTTTGTTATGGTGAAGCTCGGAAAGACCGATAGAATGAGCTGAACGTGAACAAGTACAGCTAAGGTTTCTTTGACAAAATTCAAAGATTCACTTGCTTTCGAAACAGTGCAAAAACTTATCTTCATTCCTAAGAAAATAGTGCGCTCCTAAAAACTGCGTGCCTGCGCCTACTCTTGGTCAACGTTTTTTGTTGAATTATGTTTTTCATCACTTGATTATTAGAAAGGGCCATATCAAGTTCTTGTTTAATTACATTGCTTCTCTCTTAGGGAAACAAATACGAGAAATATTGTGCTGACAAAACAATTCCTCAAAATACTAAAGGCAACAGAGAGATGTTGTACACCTCAAGCATACATTGAGATCATTAGACGCTTTCAATCCAAAATGTTTGAAATTGGCATAATCTGGCAAAGTTTTCCACACGTGATAATTACCTCCATAAATTTAGTTTAGGATTCTCTGACGAGAATTCAGAGCGTGAGCATTGTACGACCTTGTAGATTAGCGGACTCAAAAACTGATATTCCAAATACCATGCAGTTTAAACTGATAACTGGCCTTGAAAAGTTGTATATATAAGAAAACAATTTGATGAACCCACAGCAATGACCGACGAGAAGCATTTCGAGGCCGAGGCACTCTCTCTCCGGAGACTCGCCTTCTTCGGCGTGGCCCTTTCCACCATGGCCACCCTGATCTGCGTCGTCTCAGTGCCAATGCTGTACAACTACATGCAGCACATGCACTCCGCCATGCAAAACGAGGTTGACTTCTGCAAGTCCCGCTCAGGAAACATGTGGAGAGAAGTCACCCGCACTCAAGTAATATGATTTATTTTTCACGTGTGTCGTGCCGCCCTCAACTCTTTCTTTCAGACCCTCGCCAAGGTTACTAGGAGCCGTCGTCAGGCCGGCGGTGGATGCTGCGGTTGCGGAGTCTCTGCTAGAGGACCACCAGGACCACCAGGAGCAGCTGGTCAACCTGGAGGTGATGGACGTCCAGGACAGCCCGGAAGAAATGGAC